ACGAATTTCAAAAACTTTTGGTGTCTTTCTACTTTATTTCTCCATCTTTGATCTTGTTACCGGCTACCTTGATGTGCTGATATGTCGTGTAGCAGCTTGAACCACTATGCAGTAATACCAGGCCTTGTGTTAATGCCTGTCTTATTAAAGCGTTTCAATGTATCACTTTGAGTTTGCTATGGTTTACAGATTGGTTTCTGTGGGTAATTATTTCTAGTTTCCGTTCTATCTGTTTACTTACTACTTACTTGTTCAAGCATCCTGACTTTTGATAATGCCTAAATGTTCCGGTGACTGCTTCGCCTTATCTTTTAAAATCATATTTTCCTTTTCCGGTTAAACCCCTTTAGTTGGAAGTTAAAATAGGATAATTAAAGGTATTAACAACCCTAACAGCTTTATTTCAACTGATTTTAAATGTTTTATACGAGTATCCAGTCATTTCCGTTTCATCCTATAATCAGTTGTTCAATCATATATTTTGAAAGTCAAATCCGGCCGCGGTCCAGATTTTTATCTCACATTCAATTCTCACCCAGTATAAATAGTAGTCTGCCAAACTACGGTTATCTCACATAGTCAAATGATAATCAACATAATGCTGTTCCTTTCTGATTCAGTTAGATTTGGGTTCGGATGAGAAGTCTTGACTAGGCAGCTATTGTGAATACGATCAAGCAGTATCAAGGCGTCACGAATTCATATGGTAGTCTGGCAAAATCCTTAGTGATCGAAGTGAAATAAAATTCTGGTCGGAAGTCGGACCTTGTAGCTCAGTTGGTAGAGCACCGGGCCGGTAACCCGGTGGTCGCTGGTTCGAATCCGGCCGCGGTCCAGATTTTCATCTTCACCTTCAATCATCGCCCAGTATAGACAATAATATGTGTTCTTCATTTCAAGTTACTGAGATTTCCCATTTATTGAGTTTTACCAATAATTCTAACTATAACCAGTGTTTTCTTGATGTTTGACTTTACAACTGGTTAAGTGATGGAATTTTAAGTTTAAGGTTTCCAAAGCTATCTACAATGCTTATAGACTGACAAAATCAACCTAGATTCTCCCACACATGTGCATCGGTTAAAGTTGCCACACATCACAGTAGTACAAAACGAAAGGATGGATGGAAAAGGAGTCATCAGAAATAGATAAAGTAAAGTAAGAGAATAAACATTCTGAAGATAACGGCTAGTGCGAATATCAAACTGCACAAGATGATAAGGAGTGAATACATCTGCCCCATTATGACCGATTTCCAGCCAACTCACCAAGAGTCCTCAACCTCTGATTCTTATCGTCTCAGGGAACCCGACCATGCAGTCTACATCTCACACGACTCAGAACAATAGTAAGGGACTTCATCAATTGGTGCCACATCTTAATCTGCTCCCCCTGAACCCCCCTCCAACCTGATTCAACTTCTACTACCATGGGACGTCAAGGTAGGCGGTGAAGGTTCACAGCTTCATCAATCGAATCGCCTGTCCTCCCTGATACTCTTCACCTGACCTCAATATTGCCCACACGGTGATCTCACCAAGAATGAGAAATACTACGAAGATACCTGTGATAAAAACCTTATTGCCACTTCACACCTACCTCCCACTTTACACTGCCATGTCTCAGGCATACAACAGGACAGGATGGACTTCAGCACAGTATACTTGTCCCTTGATTGACAGTCGGATATCTCACCATTCAGTGCCACAAATGACGGATGTTGGCAACTGCCAAATGGGCCTTCTGTATCCGAGATGAGATTTTGTCAGCAATCAGCCTGATAGGGCTAATGCAACTTCCTAAATGAAGATAAGTGCCATGTTCGATATATCCCACCCTTCATTTCCGATTATAAAACTGGGAGTGGTTGCCACCATGCTCATGAATGATGGATAGAGGTTAGCAACAGCATCATTATTATGAAATTGAAACACAGGCAATATCGATGTATCCGCGCAGTATTCTACATGCCTTTGGAGAGGCTTATTCGGTCAAATCAACGACGGGATGAAACAAGTAGCAACATTATGAGGCATATTTGTGGCAGAATCTTATTTTGGTAAAAATCCAAGTGCTTTAATGTTGTTGCATCATTAATAATCCTCAGAGTCGGACAGAACAACTTTTCAGTACTCTTTACCACTTCTATTGACTATCATTTCTTAGACGGTTTGGCATTTCTATTTGAGTTACATTTTAAATAAACATCTTTATTATCAATTATTCGTATAATTCACCACTGAAATAATCAATAATTTTTAGCCTATTACCAACTGTATTTGTATAAGAGAAAAATTAGTCCTATGCCTAGTTAACATACAATGACCTCAATTTGTATGCGTATATAGTCTGTCTTCTTAAGAATAACAAAGCCAATGACCTTGAACAGTTCGTCTGACTTTATACAGTGACTACAATAAATACCGTAAAGTCTTGTCAATAAAAATGAATAATCAAATAGTGAAAAATAGATGTGATTTAGCGTGAAAATTAATATCATTTCGTAAGACAACCAGTTAACGATTAACATTCGTGTTTGCGTGGATGATGTCTTAATCCGTTTCTTGACGCAAAGCAGCAGGACCTGACTGTTTGCCACCTGAAGTTATCAAGGATGGATGTGGCAAATTGCTGCTGAAAATGACGGAGGTACTAGGTGGCGTGTGGGAATCAGAGGTACTACCGTCAGCCCGATGTACTCCAGTGATCATCGCAGTGTGTAAGAAGGGTGAGAAGTCTTCTTGTGAAAAGCATAGGAGAAGTGGTTGACTAGTATTGCATCCGAGGCCCTTGGCTCCATCGTTATCCGACGCCTAACTAGGGCTTGAGAACAGCACGCGAGAAAACCGGGTAGGTTTCAGTCCTGGACGAGAGTGCATCCATCATATTTTCATCCCCCTGGAACACAGGCATACCTGCCGTCCAATGTCAGACACTTGCCATATTTCCTGAGGTGAGGGTAGCATTTGAACCTGTCAACCGTGGATTATTGTGACAGCATCTGATTGTGAAGGGAGTACTAAGCAAGTGTATGATGCTAATCAAAGCTTATAGAGAGTTGTCACGTGAATTGACGATAACTAGCAGTGTTCGCCAGAGATGCCCAATGTCGCCGTTCCTATTTTAACTTTGTTATGTATGCACTAACGGACATAAGATTAGATACGTCTGACTTCACAGCAATTCATCTACTCCGTAGTGGTCATCTAGTTGACGTGGATTATCCAGACGATATTGTTCTATTGAGTGAAGACGCTGAAAAAGTATAGGGTCTCTGAACGCGTTGATCGGAAATCTGAGAATATGTCATGGGCTTCCCTGAATCTGTCACTTGTAAGATGACGCTCCAGGACTGGTCTACAAGTACTCCCAGTTTTATGATAGGGTGTTAAGTGGTTGAATATGTCGAACACTACACTTATCTTCATTTAGGAAGTTGCATTAGCCCTGTCAGGCTGATTGCTGACAAAATCTCATCTCGGATACAGAAGGCCCATTTGGCAGTTGCCAACATCCGTCATTTGTGGCACTGAATGGTGAGATATCCGACTGTCAATCAAGGGACAAGTATACTGTGCTGAAGTCCATCCTGTCCTGTTGTATGCCTGAGACATGGCAGTGTAAAGTGGGAGGTAGGTGTGAAGTGGCAATAAGGTTTTTATCACAGGTATCTTCGTAGTATTTCTCATTCTTGGTGAGATCACCGTGTGGGCAATATTGAGGTCAGGTGAAGAGTATCAGGGAGGACAGGCGATTCGATTGATGAAGCTGTGAACCTTCACCGCCTACCTTGACGTCCCATGGTAGTAGAAGTTGAATCAGGTTGGAGGGGGGTTCAGGGGGAGCAGATTAAGATGTGGCACCAATTGATGAAGTCCCTTACTGTTGTTCTTTTTGTACCACTGTGATGTACGGCAAGTATGACCGATGCAGTTGTGTACGGGGCTTTATGTTGATATTTTTTCTGTCTATCTGTCATGAACCATAACCTGTAGGTATATTAGGCGATTCAGGCAAAGTGTAGCTGTTATCGATAGTTAAACCGCGTATTGAGTATAAATAAGGAAGAAATATGGGGTGATATCAGCAACTTGTGCGAATCGACAGTATCCTTCACTTTGTGTCTTGCAGTATATCACAAACAAATCCAAGTTTCTGTGTCAGTCGTTGGGCGAATTTATAGCAGAGAGGTTGCACCACTGATAGTTTTGGTCTCAGAGTAATAATAATCATCTTCGGCGCTTTTTGTTGACTCTATTTTGAAGCCAGATGTTAACTTTCAGACTTCAGATTACTCGTAACTGATTTGTCAATGAGCTTCTCTTCAGTAGACTTCTGAAATGATTTGTAGCATGTTCTTCTAATGATACCGTTTTGTCTTTCTTCGGGTAGTCGTACAGAAATTTCCATAAATCAATCAGTACCCGAAACATCTTAATGAATTAGTCCTTTTTCTTCTTCCCCTCTACTCTGTCATCTCACGTTTTTCATGTTTTCTATTTCTGTTTCTGTGCTGATTGTTATGAAGTATGGTTATTTAAACGCCTGCATTTTTGGGCACCATTTAACGCTGGTATTTCTCTAGTATTCTGGGATCATAACTCACTAACTGTTCAGTAACTTTTGTATGACTACTGAGTTCTATTTGCATAGTTGATTCATAAAAAATTTATGATAGTTCTGCCTTATTTCCGTCCTTCAATAGTTCATTTCATCATTAAGTATTCTAGTGTGTTATGGAGAATGCAGTCTTTAATGTATTGAAAAATTTTAACGGATACTTATCTTACACATAGAGGTGTGCACCGTTTAAGAGCAAAAAAAAACAAAGAGGTATGTTTATTCAATCTCCGCTTATTTGAAATGCTTCTTGATGTCGTTGAGACGGTAATGAAAAACACTACATTGCTAATTCGAAAGAATTCAAAAAGAATCCATAACTAAAAATTCTAATAAAAACCTAAATCATCTGATTTACTTCTGTTGTCTTCCTATTATAGATTGTATCCCAAATCAAAATGTTGCAACGAAACTATCCAGTAATTCTCAACTGTTAAGTGTAAACACGTCAGCACAGTCAAATAGTAACGAAAAAGCGAATGATCAAGTTACTGCATCAGATCCTAAGAATCAGAAACAAGTTAATCAGTTATGCAAAGTAAGTTTATTTAACTTAAATAAAAAATATGCCTGTTCATATATTTCTATCTTTAATTTAGTACTGGCACCATACAAATCATTTTTGACTTCATTCTGTTGTGCACTCAGTTTTTATGTTATAGATTTCTGTATAATGTTGTAATGGTGGTCTATTTTATTGGTTTCTTGGCAGCGAGTATACTAAGGTCATAAAACATCTGTTTTATTAGACGATTAAAGTGATATCCAGATCCTGTCAACTGATAAAGAGTTGGACCTATAACCACAATTTCTCACAGGCAAGTTAGCTTAGTGTTTTAAACTTCACAAGCAGAACAGTATGAGTACAATAAGAGGGAAGAAACTAACTGTAAAACTACTATATCTTCGGAGTGAAATGATGAGACGATAGAGATTGGGGTTCTCTGCTTATGGACACTCAGCTAGGCATCTCTCCAGCATTGAAGAAATGAATGTTGCCTCGGACATGTTACTCAGTCTTGAATTAAAAAAACTCTACCTCTAGGCTGTTCATGCCATAGCTGACTACGCGTAGGACTGAAACGATTGGTTGTGATCAGCGCTTAAAGGAGACAGCTTTACTAGCCACTATTTGGTGATCAGAAGTAAAGGTTTCGGTAATACCAACATTCATACAGGTGTGGGAGAAGAGGATAACTAACAAGAAAATTAAGTTGAGAGGCAACAAGATATAAAACAAAACAAACTTGATTACCAACAGAAATCTTAAATGAATCTATCTATGCAACTGTTATGGATTTTGAGTCATACCACTTTATGTCTCCAATCATAGATTTTGCCTGTTTTTTTTGACCCTAATTAAAAAGCCTACTGTTCATTTCACGTTTCAAGATAACAATCAAGGACTTGATGAAAATATTCTTCATTGTCAATTTGAAACATCGTATACATTTTTCCAACCAACCTGTTACTTTTTCAAGTTCCCTTCTATTCCAGCCAACATCAAACTTTGATAACACACGCCTTTTGTTAATGCAATTTCACAAGCTGATTTGGATTCACCACCTGATATCATAATCTTTATATAAGTTTCGTTGCTTGCATTATATCGTCGTTGATTGGACCGAATTGATCGGTCTCCATTGGGATATGGGCTTCTATGCGAATGCCTTGATATCACCTGTGTTCTAATTATAATAAAGATAGATAGTGGCTAGCAGTGGAATCCAGGATACGCATTTCGTCCTATTTGGGACTCGTTAGCTGGATATATCTGCCTCCCAGTGAGTGATGTTGTTCCCACCGGGATTCGGACTAAGGAGCGATCGCTTCAAGCGCCAGAGCGTTATCTACTACACCACCGAGCCACGATAGCCATTATTACTGTGATTAGAACACAGGTAATATCGAGGCATCCGCACAGTAACCCATATGCCAATAGAGACCAACCAATTCGGTCCAATCAGCGACGGTGTAATACAAGCAAGAATACTAAAAACTATACCCGTCGTACAAGAAGTGGCTGTCGTGGCTCTGTGGTGTAGTGGATTGGGCTCTAGCTTTTGAAGCGATCAGTCCCGAGTCTGAATCCTGGTGGGAACAACACCACTCACTGAGAGGCAGGTACATCCAGCTGAAGAGTACCAAATATGATGAAATGTGCATCCTGGATTCCACTGCTAACCACTATCCGTCATTACTTTGTATTAGTGTTGAAGAACTGTTGGTTAGGTTTGCTTAAGACTTGCCTAAACCTCGGTAAATGGAGAGGGGATCGAACCCGTTAAACTTTTTCATAGTCAAGTGTCCAGTTAACCACTGCTCATTCTAGTGAATCACACACGTACAAAGGCGTTCGTAGGTTCTTGATGTGAAAAATTACAACCACTACATGGCTTCGTGATCGTAACTTACAACCGAGACAGAGTGTGTGACCACTTCTGGCAGTAGCTGGAGGATATTCCAGTTTATTCGAACTTCCGAAACTAAGAAGCTTGGTGTTAGTGAATGATAAAATATGCTTGTGAGTAATCTTCAAAGATGTCTGAGACGCATTTTAACTGACCTACTGGACTTCCGATCTTGATCGCCGGTCATTTCACTGAAGCATAAGGGGGCGGAAGAGATTCGAAAGCATTAGAACAACATAAGACAAAACTCAATAAGTTTTCCCTCTTCAATTTTCAAGAATGCGACCATTATAATTTTCGTCATCACAAGGAGGACTACCTAATTTATACATGATTCACAGGGACATAAGTCATCTGCCAGTTCTGTACAAAATATTTTTTAGACAAACGTGTGAAGGGTTGACTGACAAGCATCATATGAGTTAGGCTGATTGAAATGATAATTGCTTGATGTTCTACCATGCCAGAAAGGTCTGTCAGGTACTGCTAAACCCATGACAGTTACATTCAAACTTGAATGAAGTGTAACAGCACTAAGGTGCTTTCTGCAGATAACCAGCTTTTCGTGTTGGTGCTCCCTTTTATCCAGACGTTGGGTTAAGAAAGGTTCGTGTGTTGTAACACGATGAATCCCTAAGCGGATTATCCGAGAACGACCCGGCCTCGCAAAACTAAGCCCGTAAAAACACCCCCTCTCTGCTGTCAGTAGCTGAAAAGTACCAACCACCCTTATGCTTTCAAAACCATTCAGAGCTTAATTAAACGTAACCTGCCTTCCTTATATTTTTCCCCTTCCTAAATCAATATTAAACCTCTTACAACTTGCCTAACATTTCATTCTGTGACTACTGTTAAAGATTCAAGTCAGTAAAACACCATTCTTTATTTCCTTAGAATACGCTGCCGATTTTACATCGGAGCTTTCAAAGTCCGAACTCTATGCCGGAGCGGACAACAGTCGTCACTTGCCAAAACGATGGAGTTTCGAGCTACAGATATGTGTCGTGTTTTTGAGACTGACATATAAGACCCAAGTATGATTTTTAACTTGACCTCACCTGGTCAACTTGATGGGTTTGGAAAATTCACTTCATGACTGTCCGCACGCTCGACGATTAGCTCATGCAGTTATATCATCAATTTGTGGAACATAAAGCACACTTGAGTAGATTCCATTCGAAAGCCTCTTGTTTGCTGTCCGACTGGACAAGTCTTTAAGAATTAGAAAAGACCGCAATAGTCATGAATGCTTATTTGTAATCTCAGCCGTACGTTTATATTAATCTGACGCATTCTTGTCAGACTGGCTTGGATCTTTAATTTAAGCCAGTCTATAAGAAAGGGGAAAAGTTTTTTTGTTACAACCACAATGGAACCAGCTTGACTAGAATTGCTTTTAAAATGCTAGAACCTATATTTATGCGATACTTAACTGAAGTTCAAGAACAACAAACTTCTGAAAACCAGGTATTTTTCAGACCTGGCCTAGAGTTTATTGGCCAGATCTTCACTCTCAGATAAGTTTTGGAACATAGTTATGCTTACCAGTAGTCGACACTTGTCATATTTCTCGATCTGTAGGCGACATTCGACTCTGTTGACAATGAAGTGTTGTGGTAGTATCTGACTACTAAGGGAGTATGGAGAATGCAGATAATGATAACTAGAGCTCCACCCGAACTCTCATCGCCATTCATGAGCTTACGGAGTGTTGTTGTCTTTAGTAACGAAATTCAGATGTTGGCTAAGGATTTTCACGATTACCATTGCTATGTAGTCTTGGTATATATATGTGCTGATAGAAATAACCTTACACACTTTCGAATATTTAAGTGTTCATTGGTTTGAAGTCGGCAAACCTTAGACGACAAAGCAGGAGAGCACTGGTGTCAAGGTTGAACAGTTCTGTACGGTACTAGCTTTCACCTGGAATAAATAACTCTTTAAACTGATTCTCATAAGAAATGTTGTCCGTATTTGTCACTAACTCATTCAATAGCAGACTACAAAAACACATATACTGAAATAGGATAAATATAGACTTATAGTTTTCCTTCCTCAAACTAGAAATTTGACTTCTCCGCGGGTGGGCGATTGGTTAAATATGCTTAAAAAAGGTAGTCAGTCTTTTTGAATACCTTGAACAGAAACCGGAATATGTTTGGCATGCATTTCACAGTTGTCAAATGTAAGATGATGCTTGAGGATTTATCTTTACCGACCCCTAGTTTGAGAATAAGAAGTGACAACCTCATTTTCATGAGGAGTTGCATCAACTTTGATTCAAAATGATTGTTTAGCATCTGCTGACTTCGTTATGTTGGACGTAGTCAAGATATCAGATTACCTACCAATGCATGAATACATTGTACACCTCTCTACTCAGTTCGTTGTTCGGCTGTGATATATAGCCGTTTAAAAGTAAACGATATGAAGAGGTTACAGGTTTTAACCATGCGTCCATTAGCACTTCTGGGGTCTAGTAGAGTCACTACGTGAGTATTGTTGAATGTATGATGTATGGTGAAAAACAAGGAAAATGATTTAGTCGATGAATTTGTGTATTTTTGATTACTTGAAGTGGCTGGGATGTGTGTTGCATAAACCAAACTCTTATTAAATCCGATTAGTCATGTAAGCTGAAGTAGGATTTGGTTGGAAGAACGCTAAGAGAGGTTAGGTCAGGAAATAGCAACTGTCCTATGTTCAGAGTATCACTATCTTGTATATATAATAAGACAGGTATAAACAGTTCTTCTCTGATAGAAATTAAGGAATGAAATGTTATTGGATTATACAAGCCATATCTTTAAGTTTGGATAGTTTTATAAGTTTGAACGTAGTTGATTGTGCATCATCATCATAATCGATATCAACATGCGACCAGGCATTACTGCGTAACGGTCCGAGTTGCCACACCTTATATCAGTACATCAAGTAGAAAGGTAGTGAGGTGAAGGATGAAGATAAGAGAATGCAGTCAAAAGAAATATAAAGTACGAGAAAAAAGAAAGCAAGAATGGCAAAATGGTGAGAATCGGTATAGTATTAAGATGTGGATAGCGTGTGTATACATGTGTGCCACTGACATCGGTTCTAAGCCATATCCCTTAGAGTCTCCAGCAACTGGTTCCTCTTGTCCCGCAGACCCCAACTACCTAGTCTGCATCGCTCCCCATGGCTCAAACCGACAGTCAGAGACTTCGTGCATTCGTGCCATGTTTTAGTCTGGCCACCTCGAGCCTTTTTCCAGCCTGGACCCACCTCAGCCAACATTGTGTGACGAGGCAATCGGCGACTAGGCATACGTAATACGTGTCCCAACCATCTCAGTCGATGAAGGTTCATAACCTCGTCAACTGACTTACCCCTACTCCCTAAAACTCTATACCCTAACTTCTGCATTACTCACGTAGTGACACTACGGAATACGGCGTATACTACGAAGGCAACGGTGGTCAAACACATGAAGCCTTCTCATGTCCTCCACCTTCAACGGCCATGTTTCACAGCCATACAGTAGAGCAGACCGGACTGGTGTGCAGTATACGCAACACTTAGTAGGCAATTGGATATCACGGCAGCGCCACAGCTGGCGTAAATTGGCGAAAGCCAATCGAGCCTTTTGTATCCGTGCAGAGATTTCACCGGCCTTTGAGCCATCAGGGCTGATCTTACTTCCTAGGTAAGTGAAGTGGTCGATACACTCAACCATTACACTCTCTATTATTAGCTGTGGGACCGTTGAAGACAAATCGTTTAGCAATAATTTGCATTTGGGTGGTGAGAAAAACATCCCAAACATTCTCAAATTACTACTCAAAGTGTTCAGAAGACTCTGCATCTTGTTAGCCTCTTCACCTAACACGACAATGCCATCTGCATATTCTAGGTCTAACGAAAATTCTTCACCGATTCGATCAACGTCTGTGGATCCAGGTGACGAGAGGGGGATCTCCATAAGAATATCTATGGTGAAATTGAATAAGAATGGAGAGAGTGGGCACCCTTGACAGACACCACTCGATGAGTACAGCTAACCTGACATCTCACCATAGGCTCTAACACACCCGCAAGTGTTCGAGTAGAGAGCCTTCAATAAGGTGATGTACTTACTCGGCACGCCTTTCAGTGAGAGACATTGCCATTCGACTTCTCGATTAACGGAGTCGAATGCTACCTTCGGGTCAAAAAATACAGCTATTGTTGGGCGTCTGTAAGAGTGTCTATGTTCCAGGACTTGGCGCAGTGTGAATATTTGGTTGATACACCGGCGACCGGGTTTAGAGTCCACCTGGTTTTCTCGTGTTTGCTGTTCCTAAGCCCCACTCAGGCAGTTGATTGTGCTCAAAGTGTCACTCAATACACAATAATGTAACAAGTGATAAATAGTCGAAAAAAGTAATAATACCTCACTAAAGTCCTACTTGTACATTCGAGAGATATTCGCCAGACATTTCGAAAGTTTTATGAACCTCAGCTAGAATCAGGGTAAGCAGCCACCCCTTATTCTAAACGATAAGCGAGGTGGAATAATATTTCTTGGTTTCATCTTGAATTCTGTCATTCATGATATTCTTTAAACATTTATTATGGTGGTTACTGTGAACCTGAAAGTTAAACCTTCAATATACGAGTGACACCACTTTTCTGTGCGATAATATACAGCAGATAGAAATCTCATTTACACACTTTTCATTCTATTCACTTTCAAAACACTCAGTATACTTGCAAATCTACTAGGATGCTTTTGTTTGAGATCACCGTTGGAAGTTGATAAACCAGCGCTACTAGTCATTACTTGAAATCAAATTAACATGACATAGGCACTAAAAAATGAAATGTGTTGGTGTGTCCCATATTAGATTTCCATTCATATAGCGAATCGCAGTCGTTGTGATATTCATCTGGTTTAGCATATATCGTTGAGATTAAACACAGGCCTTTTAGTTTGCAAATACCTACATATCGTTTCTCAAATAGTTGACAGGTGTTGTTTTGAGAGACTTACTTATTCAACTCTATAACCATATACTTCTTTGAGCAGTAAACAATGAACCAGACATCGAATATTTGGGTTAATATGACTTCCCTAATGTTCAAACCTTTATAGGTGGAACCGGTTCGGAACACGTTATCTTCTGGCTGGGAGTTTATAACCTGAAACAAAAGAAAGGACTAATGATACCACCTAGCTACTTAAACCTCTGTAGACAGAGCAGTGTCCGAGCTCGAAACCCGCTGGTTTATTATCTATCAAATGATATAGACATAAGTCGTAGAGTCGACAGTAAGAGAGGCCTTCTCAGTCGTTAACTTCTTTAGATTGAGGTAGTTGGTATATGGGTTACTCATGCCATTCTTCTGTCTAACCGGACCCTCCATCTTAATAAAACTTATGTCGGGTTGTCAAAAGTCATAGGCGATGGGAATGAAACATTGCATTAATCCATGAACCTTCGTCTGCTGATCTGAGCCCTGTCGGAAAATGTTGGCTTGCAACTGAAATAAGTGAAATTTTCCATCACAGTTTTCGTATCACACTCATAAGTATATGCTGTCAGAGTGATTTTCCCAATACGATGCTGGTGGTTAACGAGTGTCCGTTTTTCATATTGATGTTCATTTGCTCATTCTGTTTCACTTTTTTTGGTGAGAGCATTATGCAAAACGTTTTCTGCACTACCATGCACATAAGTGCGATGAATTGACGACTGATGACGTAGTGTAACATCGTACAAAGATGACTCATCTTGTTCAATAACTACGGAAAGAAGACAAGGGACGAGAATCACCCTAGTAAAAGCCTATGCTGGACAAACGCTGTCCATTTATTCGACATCCATCACTTACTACCGCAGATCGTTCAGACTATTTGAAACAGTACGCTAGTATGGTTAAACTCTAAAGGTGAAAACATGACAGGAATCATTTGCTTACACAATACCTAAAGAACTAGGTAGTTGGATGTTTTATTTCAACAGAAGTCAATTAAAATCACATCCTTTATTTGAGTGTACATAAAGTCTAATCGACCATTAGGTCCTTTTTTAAGTATATTTCCTTAGCAATGTTGAGGTTATCAGCTCACTGAATTAGCACTGTGGACTGCAGAAGTTGCTTTTCGACGATGAGTAACACTGTTTACAATTGCGAATGAAGTTTGTGAACAAATGTTGGTGGTGAGCGCTGGCATACTTAGAACTAGAATTCAAGAATTTTTGTTGGTTAGTTTCAACCATATTGCTGTTTATAATTCGCACGTCACAACAACTAACTTGATATACTTTACGTTGAAAAATAGAAACTGAATCAGATCGAGAAACTCAAGTTGGAACAAGCCTCTGGGAAAACTCTGGCCTTCAACCAGTTGGAAAAAATTGCTGGCGAAAAACAACTTCGTGATGAATTGACCCGACTATGTATATGAAATCCTAAAACGTGCAGTCCTGAATTTTCTTGTAAAGAAATTTTGTACTTTAAGTTTATAAACAGTTGGAGTCGCATTCCCACTATTTTCTCTCTCAATGGTTTGTTTATTGCTTGAATCACGCGAAACCAGACTGTATCGTGCATGAATTTTTATAATACGAATAGCGGAAATTGCTGTACATCACTTGCATATATGGCAACTTATCGCGTCAGTGTGTCCCATACTTACGTCCTCAGATTTTCCCTGACTTTTGTGTCTCTGAATATGTTTTGCACCAGAAGTTTCATTTTGTTTTCTATATGGAAATAGCATCCTGCAGGTATATGAAAATTTTGCTATGACTTTTATGTAGTTTAGCTGGTATCTCAATTTACACATAACATGTCGTTGTCGTTTCAAATCTGGTTTATCACACAGTCGTGAGTGTATCTGACGCGAAGCAGCAAGTGCAGACTATATGATATACTTGATAGGAATGAAAAGCCATGTATTCTATCGTAGAGCTTGAATTCAATGGTCCTGCATCCTATCACCACCATCAATGCAGTGTTTTCTCTCAGCAAAACTGACTTTATCACACTTCGTCAAAGTCTGTATGCCGCTCCTACCATCAGATTATATCTTAGGGTTGGAAATGAAGAACGTAAGATATGTTGTTAAGATCAGAACAGCATATTTACATCGTTTGGCAGTTTAGTTAAGATACCCGGATGTATCCATTCGAACACTACTCATACAGCCTACAAACAGAATATGTACTCCACCTCTAGCATATAGAGACCGATACTCAGCTGGTGTACACTACTGTTTGCTGGGAAACAAACCCGTCTGGTTTACTCATAAAGCAGTCTCATATATAATATAACAATTACTTCACTTCCAACGAAATATTTTCAAATGACTATAGGTGCAACTTGTCTAGTAACAGGTTGACGACGGTGACGGACAAACCTCTAAACTGTAGCCAAAAAGCATTACTGCTCGCGCGGAAAACAAGCAGTTGCTGCGCCATACACAATACTGCTCTCATGACAAAGGTTCCGAGTCCAAAGATCGCCTCAAGACTTGATGTGAATTTCTTCGGTCATAGCAAGGCCCTTAGCGGACTACCTACGACAGTGGTTGTTAAATCAGGTTTTTTGAAGCAAATGGTTTGCAAGGTTCAAATAGATCCTTGTCAGTAGGACGATCAACCTCAGAAGTATAGCGATGTGCTGGTCTATTATTATTATTCTGACAAATAAATAGCCATATGACCACATCGATCTCCACCCTGTTTGGGAAAGCAATAAGCACCAACGGACGATGGTGTAGGTACGAACAGACCACAACAGCTTCAACTAGCCAAAGAAATGATTTGTTCATACATGTACGATGTCATTCTTATAGGACATTCGACGCTGGCGAGAGTTGTTTGCCGCAAGTCCTGGTCCAGCAACCAGGGAGTCATTGGCATGGAAGCCGCAAAGCAGCTGTCGTTCAGTCTTGGCTTAGGGACACTAGAAGAATGTTAACTACGAATAGAATTGTCATCCAGGTCAAATAATAGCTGTCACACATAAGTTATCTGTCCCAATCTAGAAAAGTGTGTACAAATAACAAGTTTCTGCCTCAAAGGTGGATTTGAATATGGAGGATAATGTATGCACGACCTGTGGGTTACCCAGCTAATTCTACGAAGGACAAATCTCAACGTTTAGAAACTCGTATTTACCGCACTGCAGACTCGGTGGAGTAATACAAACGTACTCACTCAGGCATTGCGGGCCTAATACACATAGACAAATAGCCGCTATCAACGTGAGACATTACATACAAGTGCATCGGTTAAAGTTCCCACATCTTACAGTAGTATATAAAGACGGATGGGTAGAATAGAAGCGATATCAGAGTTGTGTGAGGGAATAACGGCTAGTGCGAATATTCAAGCTTTAGATGTGAATACATCTTCACTGCGACCGATTTCCAGCTGCCACCAACATTCCTCAACCACTCAGTCCTATCGTCTCGGGGACCGAACGCAGATAATCCACATCCAATATGACTGAATCTAACGGTCAGCGGTTCCACCGACTGGTGCCACGTCTTGGACTAGCCATCCTGAACTCTCTCCGAGCGATCTCACTTGACGAGGGTTCACAACTTTATCAATCGATTCGCCTGTCTCCCCTAGTACTCTTCGTCCGACCTCAATATTGCTCACACCGTGATTCCACGAAACGCGTGCAAAGCAGCAAAGACACCTGCGATCAAAACCCTGTAATCGCTTCTTGTCCTCTATTTTTAACGGCCATGTCTCAGCTGAACAACAGCACAGTATACTAGGAACGGTGACAGTGGGCATCTCTGGTGGACACAGCTAGTTATCGTCAATTCACACGACAACTCTATATAAGCCCTTACATAGCTGCATAACATCGAGTTGAGAGCTTTGATTAGCACTTCCTTCACAACCGGATGCTGTCACAGTAACCCACGGTAGACAGGTTCAAATGTCGCCCTCACCTCAGGAAATATGGCAAGTGTCTGCAACTTGCCTGCAGGTATACCTGTGTTCCCGGAGGATGGAGATACGGTCGACGCACTTCCGTGCAGGTCCGAAACCTGCCCGGTTTTCTCGTGTGCTGTCCTCAAGCCCAGTTAGGCGTCAGATAACCATGGAGCCAAGGATATCGGATACAATACTGGTCAAACGACCCTTACACATTTGTTTACTCGTCATTGTGATCGGAGCCACCTGGGATCGATCTTCTTGCATTAATTAGTTCAAATGACGTCGCAGAAGCTCAATGACTTTTGCTAAACTTCGGATGTAGTTTTTCAACTGACCTCACCTGTTTCTACGAGACTTATTCTCCTGCCATATTTTCCCCGTTTGAGCATTACATTCATGTTCCGGAAAATACTCGGCTAGATCTACTCCAAATACGTACTTGACGACCTCGCCTACCAATCTACAGTAGACAGTTTCTACTGTCGCCTATTAACTCCAACTAGTAAGGCAAAAACAAACAGGAGCCCCTGGAGTCCAGAACGACATTCCAGAAAAAGCTGCAATACTCTCCAACGGCTGAGAGGTCTGTCTGAGTCCGTCATTGGCTTGATGTCATTTAACGCCATGTAAGGTAGTATTTCTCCTTATGCTCAAGGTTAGTGCAGACTGTAAACAAGAGAATATCAGCGGGGAAATTCCTTGTGACGATCACCGTTCCTGAGATTTTTCAAATCTCTTCTAGACTGGTCCAACTTACCTAACTGGCCGTCAAAGTCACCCGCCATTATTACATTCCTAACTTTTTGCCTTCTGTTGACGGCCAACTCAAAATATACACTTAGGTCCTTTAAATGTGTCTTAAAACAGTATGCGTCCATCAACAAAATCTCAGAGCTCTGACGAGAAGCGATTGCAGTCTGGTTTGGCATATAGTTCGGATGTTGAAGGCTCCAAAACGAAACCAACGGCAAGATTTTATAAAACTGAATGATATTTAGACAGCTTTAATCATTGACAATGGTCGCCGTATGCGGTTGGGGAAAGATCAAGAAGCCTACTAATAGTGACGGCAGAACTGAAAAACGTTAAGTGTTTGATTCTGTCCATTGCTTGGGGAGCGTACGGACGGATGACACTTCCCTGCTGCCCACTGTATGAAACAAGGTTTCAGTGTTCTAAGTAGACTTCATTTAGGTACCACTTCCCAAAGATAAGGCTGCAGCGGCGTAGCGCAGCAGTGAAGCGACATTTTACCCGTTTTACAGTAGAATTCAGACTTCACCTAACACCATTTCATAAGGAAGAACCTCGATGAACACACCATAATGACTACCTGCGTCATCCAGCTATACAAGACCGAACATGTCAAACTGCCGTCATCGGACTTTGTCGTACACAGTGAAAGACTCTAGGATTTTAATTAAGCGCTGTTCATCTAATGTAATCGATAAATTAATTAAGTTAAAGCAAGCGTTCACAAGCAGGTCCCAACTCAAAGCTACTTATGCAGTATGCTCTTCGAACTACTGTTTCACCTTATGAAACCACGAACGCAGGAAGCGTAGGAACCTGATGACGGCCAACTTCCAAGCTGTACAGCTAAAATTGCAGGCGTTTATTTTGATACACATAAATGCATACATCGTCATGTCTACAGAAAAGCAATGACTTTTAACTAGAAGAAGACGTAACGAAATAAAATGTACAAATTAGGCATTAGAATGCAATATGTACAACATAGATTTGAGTTAGTATGGGCTAGAATAATAGCCCCCATTTTCCCGTGCACCGTATCCTTTACTGCGATCACGTGGATTACGTTCAGCAAACTTTCGTGGGTATTCACCGTCCATCTAAAAGTCAACCAAAAAGAACCGGTAATGATTTCCAAAACGACATCTGTGACAATCATATGAACAGCGAATGTAACCCTTCTGTAAGGTTTTGGCGAATAGCGCAAGTAGACCACTACAGGTTGGTCACTGTGCTCAACAAATTCACTCTCTCGTGCAAACTCAGTTTGTCTGGGAGGCTAGAAAAATGACCAAAGTGCTGCTACATTCCATTTAGTGCCGCCATCTCAATGAGATAAGGACCAGCACATGTTCAAATTAACACTTCTAAGGAGTGGTAGGGAGCAGGAATAGCCAACTTGATATCAAGATTCCGGTGAGTAGCTTTAGTAAGCAGTGGAGGTCACGTGCCCGAAAGCAACCACTTGGTGTGACTATCTTGGAAGATCTACGTGGACCTTGGTGTTATTCATTCGACTGAACACCACCAGCGGGCATATATTCGCGTTCTAAACAACTATAGAACCCTCAAGAATACTTCCACCAGGAAGTTAGCCACACGGAATGATCTTCCTATAGGTCTCCCAGTTAAGCTGCACGTCAGCCAATATTGTGGAAATGCATTTGATGCCCAAATGTAGGAAATCGTTTCTTAACGTATGTTGACAGTCTTTGAAACTTGACCGTAGTGAAATTGCAACAGAACCGTTCGAGTTGACGATAATCGTATGGAAATTAAAGAGACTGAAACAATTCTACAATGTACTGTTTCCTGTTTACCTTACCAAAGTCACTGGCGCACGCACAACCAACGGGAGCATGTTAGAAAAAAGTGAGCGTTTCACCTGCTTTACTACAGTTGGCATACGAAGATTCAGTTCATCAGTGATGACAGATACCACTGCGTTATTACTGTAGGTCGAGCATAACACAATAATCTTGACGTAACTATCAAGTTCCAGTTGCCCCTGAAATATTTCGTACTCCAGCAAACAGTAGTTTGTTGATTGGTTCCTCTGAAAGTCAGTCCCGTGAACACAGAGATATCACATTTCTCCAACTCAAGTTGATACTTTAGTTAATAACCACCCATAAAATCCTGCTGTCCAGATGGGATTTTTTTCAGTGACTAATTACTGGGATAAATCTACGCCACTCTTTGAAGACGCACACTGGGCCGTAGCTAATTGCGGGGCTAAACGAAGGGAGCAAACGGATATCCATCCATCATCGGTTTTGTAATACGGGTAAGGAACAACTTTCCACCTTAAGTTACCAGCCCACTAGCAGAACATGAAACATTCATCTCCCCCTAGGTCGTCAACAGGCGGGTGTGAACCTTCAACAAACGAATGAGAGCATTACTAAGACATATTCCTAGAGCAGTTGTGGGAGCTGCTGAGTCCCAAACAAGAACGAAACAGCCGTGAACGCTATTCCCTTGCATATTTTCGAATCAAACCCTCAGGCCACTGGACAAGTCAAACTCCTCGTCAATCAGAGGTCACGCCACAGCGGTAAACCGCTGCCGCAGTTCAGAGGGTTTCACCCACATTTACTCGGCGATACTGTGAACCGTAGTTTTCGATATGCACCTGTCTCAGGAACCAAAGATTGATTTTATAGCTTCGTGCAACCTTGCACCAGATGCCATTTTACTGACCAAGAAGACACGCCAGTTTCTTCCGCGGATCCCTCAGCAGTCAAGGTGAAATTACTAGTGCCAGAGGATGTGCTGCTGCGGGTTAGGAAGCCGTTGCTCCACGGCGGAACACTCATCTCATAAGCCTTGGGGACCCAAGGACTAGTGGTGAGTCCGACTCGGAGATACACCCAAAGGCGTTACTACCTGATAAATCTACGATACATTTCACCAACTTCCCGAAGAATCGAGCATTACATCAGCAACAACAGTACTCACCCTTGTTCCATTGCGACCCTGACCTCTAGCACGATAGGGCGCAAATCCATTGCTTCTGTAACCGTCCGAGTCGTCCCGATCACCCCGCATTCCGTACTCCCTAGGACTGCGACCAAATGGACGATTCGCAGCGTACACACTCCCCTAAAAATATTCGGACTTCAACCAAACGGACATACCTTTACCGGTCTTCTATCAGGTCCCGTAACATCTGAAGCCTCTACCCCTTTATCACCTTCAACAACGAAAAATTCAACTTCCTCGTTTTCTTGCAGTGAACGTTGCATCTTTCCCGGGTTGTTTCGCGAAATCGCGGTCTGATGCACAAAGATGTCAGTCGATGTGTCGGACCGTGTAATGAAGCCATACCCGGCTTTTACATTGAACCACTTCACCACTCCTCTTACCCTGTCGTCGGTCATTCTACGAGGTGCATTACGACTTCTTCTATCGCTCATATCAAGCTATCCTAGATTCCTAAAGAAGTCCTTGGTCACGGACTTCAAACAAGGCGCTCCAATGGACAGACTATGCTTCCATTTGCCATTTACCAAGCATTTAAACAAATAAGAATTCTTCGTCAAGGATAAGGATAGCTAATCAGCAGCTCATAATAATCCTTGCAGTACCTGATAGATTATTTTACCTCAATATCTTCCTGAAAGTGGTATGAGGAGGTGTGAATACAACGTGCTAGGGAGCAGCACTTCCTAACAACATATTTCTAGCATTAGGCCTCCAGCATTACACAATTTAGTCAATACTGTTGAGGCTTCAATCTGGTAAAAGTTTCCAGAAGATGGGACAGAGTAAACCTGTTAGCTTTCAATTCGACATCATCCACAAAGTACGCTGGGTAGTGTGAAATCAAGGAATGTGGTGGGCAATCCAGTTTTCTGTAGGAAACTAGGGCGATCCTCCGGATGTACTAGTGTTTTAATCTGGATTCAGCCTGGTATGCCCACGTAATATGAAGATCGGGGTTTCAAAACATAGATGGCCTCGTCTAATGAAGACCAAAGTAAAAGGGAAATCCCTAGGGACTTCCTCCTGAAAAGCAACTAATCTCTAACAGTCTCCAACTGCGAGAATGCAGTTGCACGTGAAGGAAATTTCATGTCGTCACCAATCTTTTGACCACTGAGCCTAACATACGACGGGGTCCGGAAAACCCACCTCACCGAGGTCTAACAGCAACTTTTAGTCCTTGTGTCGTGGTCGATATCAATTCCAAGTCCTTATGATCGATTAGTTAAGGCAGGATTATGGTGTTTATCGGGTGGTCATGCGGTTTGTCCCCTAATTACACTCCGACCGGCACTGACCTTTAGCAGTCACGCACCGGAATGTTCAAATAATAGTTCAGACCCTTCAGCATGAGAAGCTTGTCCTCAAAGTTACGCATGGCAGCCGAAGGCTCGTCTTCAGCTGCATATGTAAGAACTGGCGGCGTAACTGCACTACCTGTCTCAATAACATTGATTATGAAAAGAAGCAGAACCGACATCTAACCTTGAGACGCACGATTCTCGAGTGTTTCCCAAAACTATGAAACCCCATTCGCCTCAACCGTTACATTTCGATTCCTCATGAAGAATACTAACACAGGCATCAAACCCGCCTTGGGCGCCAATAATTTCGGGAATAAGTAAACATCCATGCAACCATTTCATTCAGGTGAATGTCTAAGTTCAAGCGTTTCTCACTCCTCAAGTGTTATCTTTCCCAAGCAACTCAGATTGTTAATACTGAAAACATTCGTTGTGGTGCAAGTAATTAAAGAATGGAAGAATCGTCGTTCAGCAGTGGTGAATACTACACATGTGTAAAACTTCATAGACTTCACATTAGGTTATGCAGCTTTGTCAAGTAGATACATTGGCTGTTAATTGACTTCCGTCAGATGGATTGATACAAGACAAAGTACCGGAGAAATCTGTTGCATAGCATCATTACAGGTGTGTGGTCGTCAGGTAAAGTGATCTCTCAGGTTTGACCGCCTATCCAGATTTCCGCTGCATTTGTCACGGACCGGAAATCTGAGACCAGTTATTGTGCTTGAGGTTGCGTATGTGGTTAGTCGATACTTTTTGATCAAACCGAAGCTCATAACTTTCTCGTCATGCTGGTACTGGAAAAAGAATAGACAAGAAAGCGCAAGGACAAGCTGGGAGGAGGGAAGGTCTTGTCTTTTTGGTTATTTGAACCACGCGTAAACGCTAATTTATGCATACAAGAGTGACTTCCTTTTTTATAATGGTAATAATATATATTTCATACAACATAGGTTACGTGAATACAAAACCGGTTTACAGGTTTGATCATTTTGGTGGTGAGAAATGACTATTAGGTACAGTGTGAAGCTATACATTAGATACCGTTATTCATGGCATACAAGAGGTGTGTTGAAGCAGGCTCAGTCGGAAATTGGGAATTATTCGGTTATTGTTTGAATCTTTCAATATTCTTAAAGGTGGGGCCACACCACAGCCATGACCTTGGGGTATGTGCGTCCGTCATAAGGTTTTGATGGCAAGGTGCACATTGGCAAATGCGATATCTAGGACTCCATTTGAACGCGGGACTGGTTAGGTAAACCTGAAAAGCGAGTAACAAAAGCGAGCAGCGAGCGAAGTTCGAAACAGGAGCACAAAAATATGCAGGAGTAGATCGACCATGATACATCTGGGTGAGTTCTTTGTACTGACCACAAGACTTACTTGAAGGGGTATCCAAAACCAACTGTTTAGAGGTAAGCTTGGGTGGAAGAAGTTCATGCGGGCAGTTTTGTCGGTAAACCTGAAGAGAATACTGACTGTGTATTTGTACTGCACAATCCGACCAGATAGACTAGCGATCAAACACCCTTTGTGAGTCCATCAAGGTAAAACGCACTTGAGATTTATGGTAGCCTTACTCTATACGTTTAGAGGTCTCAGTATGATTTCATCAGCCCAGAACGTGAGAACCTCAAATCAAATAAGTCACTGAAAGCAATCAAGCAAGAAAGTGGCTGCAATGCACAAACAGGCAGTGCTCAATCATTAGTGAGAATTCTTAAATCCCGTGCAACCTTATCCAGAGTTTTTCCTAGTAGTATGGTGCAGCGGCTGAGAGGAAATCGATCCGAGCTAGCAGATATGAGCGTTTCGATATCCGAACAACAGTCCTGCTCGTGCCACTGTGCAAGTGATCCGGTGACAACAAATGTCTGGATACTGTTGACGGAATCGCATGTCTTATGACTTGTATTTTGCTCTTTTCCCAGGTTTCCGACAGCCGGCAATTCTCCTCACCATGTGTTCTATCAAGGGGAAGGAAGCGTTAACATGACTGTTGTCCAGGTTCTGCATCCAAAATCTAAGAATTAGAGTCACGTGATCGCTATTCATCGTTATAGCCAGGTGCTGTAGGTCAATGTCACCTTTCTTCGGTGCCAAACAATTGCTTCTGAATGCGACGGCCCGTGTCTCAGTAAAAGTGAGTTGAGCCTATGACGGTTTGGAACACAACACTCCAAACCAACGAATGTGGATCAATATCGAAGACGTAGTCGGAAGCTTGGGACAAGAGCCCAATCCAAGTGATAAGACATGCGTTTGTGTCAACAGTTTTCAGACTTTTGTTGTCACCAGTTAACTTGCGCGGTGACATCAGCAGGAGTAAAATGGCTAGATATGAGTGGCTCCAGTAGATTACCCCTATCCTCATTCCTTCTTCTGACTCTCCTTCACAACTAGTTACTTAACGGGCACCACGTTCATGTGATCCTGGTCTAATCGGGCTCCCATTTAGACAAAAGGAGGCATACAGAAATGGATCTTAACGCCTTCCTTCGAAAGCCAAATAGCTTTAACATGAAATTTGGCCTAGAGTAGCGACGTAGTGTTCAGAACGTTTACAGCAAGAAACTCACTTTGAGTAAACAGTGTATCGAAGAAACCGTAAAAACTATAATGCGATCGGTATTCAAAGTAGACGGCCACAAGCTGTAGCCCCACTTGCTAAACTGGTGCAGCTGCTAAATAATTCGCAAAGATCGCCTAGTCATGCTGAAAACCTCGCCACCTCACATCGCAATATCCTGGCTTTCATACTGATAATTTCTGATCGGTTAACCTCCGATATCAAGCGAAAATGGTTATCGCCCCGTGACTCCAGACCGTTTACAGGTTGTAGCCTCTATTAACAGAAATAAAGCTCCCGGAACTTGCCACTTGTATGACTAGTAAGGAAGCTCTTCGGCTTCCGACTCGACAAAATGACACAATACCATACTAATGAATCTCACTGTGGTAGGAGAATTTCAGCGTTGTTCGGATATCGAAACGCTTTTATTTGTTTAGTCGGATCGATTTTCTCTCAGCCGCTGCACCATAGTTTCGACGTCATGACGCATGTTCGCTCACACATTGAAGACAGCGGAGCTAAACGATCAGACGCCTATTGAAGCCCTGTGTGTTTACATTTCTGATGTGTCCTTGGCATAGTTGGGGCCACCAAAGTGTGAAACACGAGGTTAAGGCGTCTCGGTGACATGATGAGAAGGGGGCAGAAGATCTGATGACCGGGAGTTCTGGGAGCCAGCCACTCTCATATGACAGACGGAGAAGCGCGTTTGATGCCTCTACTTCCTAGGTGTTCAAAGACAACCAGAGAAGCCCCGACGAATGACTTCAGATATTCCTTAGCACTCTCCGATTAGCGGTTCGCGGCATATTGTCGAATAAGAACTAATAACCAACCACCTGTCACAAAGCACTCTCCGTAACCCCCCACCGTACACCACACTCTCCCTTCCCTCGCGGTCACCGTAGTTATCCCCTTTCCACAGTCTATCATCCACATGCCCAAACCCACAGAAGTCCCCAAGTACAAAACGAAGTCGAGATCCTCGGTTGACCATAAAATAGCTCGAGTTTTAGCATGGGGGGTGTATCATTCACGACCCTGAAGGTAAATTATGGGTAGGGTATTTATCTCTGTTGAGCTGCTTCTTTACTGCATCTCTTTTTCACATTTTTAAACTCTGTATCGTTCTTCCGAATTCCTAGGCAAATGACTCCATCCCTCATGCCTCTTCGTTTCTCTCTCTCACACCATTAGCAGAGTAAGAAATATGCTCACCTAGTGACTCAAAGCGAGGCATGTTTGCAAGTAAACATCTCCAGCACTTCACCTCATTTGACTCCGTTTTACAGAAGACAACAGCCAATGTACCTCCTTGACAATGCTGTATGCTTCAATGTGAATTCTATGTGCAAAACCCCACCACCGTTAGTTAGTAGTCCTTCAGATGTTCATTTCTTTGTACAACAACAACTAATTTTGTGAATTATGTCCGTATTGCTGAGTAATGTCACACTGCGAGTTGGAAATGCCAGTACTTTTATATTCACGTGGATTATATGATTATGCTAACACTTACTGTTACCTGAAATCGATGAAGTGAGTTTCCATTGGCGAACAATACTATAAACATGTTAACTGATGTCAAAATAAACGTTTATCTGACGAAACACGGAACTATACCGCCAGGTTAACC